ACACCCATTTTGTTTTGCTGCTTCTTCATCAGACGCTGGGCTTCCTTCTCCATTTTCCTCCTTTGTTGCTCTGCTGCTCTCTTTTCTCTGTCTGCCATCTTCTGCTGCCTGAAGAGAGACACATTCTCTTCTTTACATTTAGAAAATGCTTCCCAGGTAAAACAGCAAGTGAGCTATAGGAAGGGTGCCTTCTTATAACCAACAAATAGATGCTTCATGTCTTAAGTTTTCTCACTTCTCTGAAAAGTTCAAGGATTTTTCAATAGACTCTCTCTGCTTACCCTCAGAAGATAACTTTGCGTCACAGAAATGTTATCTCTACGTACAAACAGGCAAAATGCGCCGCGAAGCTAAGAGATTTGTCCAGCCATAGTTTACTACGCCCAGGGAGGAGGAACCACCTCTTCTCAATTTGTTCCTCCATCTCATTTCCACACCTGTATTCAACCCCGCCTTTGTGTGTGTGTGTCAGGGGCAAACTATCCAAAAAAGGTTGACACTGGAATGAATTCTCTTGTTATTATAAAAGATTTCCTTAAATAACTCAAGATGTTAGAAACACACTGCAAAGAGGAAATGGAATTTCAGATTTACCTTGCACTCAGAACCAAGAAACGTAAAGATGAACGTTGGAGCCACTCCATAAGGCATAGACTGATGCCTACTATGACTGTCTGGCTCTCAGCCCAGTAAAACTCCACTCATCAGAAATAGCAAAAACACTCTGTCCTTACCCACTGGCTGGTACAGGAAGGGAGCCTGGGCCTGGAAGGATGGCACGGGGGAGGGGAGGGGACCTGAGGAGGGTGTGAAAAAGTAACTCAAGACGTATGTAAGGTTGAAGAAAGCATAGGCTACCAGTGAACATGGAAGAGACAACATAAGGTCTACACAATCCAGCCTGGGGCAGCTAAATTAGCGCAAGTTCAAGTTAAAGCTTATGAAAGGGGTTTGTTAATGCATAAACATACATACAAATATGCATATGCACGTATATACATTGATTTTCAGTAACAATTACCAACGCAAGGAGGCAGAGTTAGAGATGACCAAAATTCCACCAAGGAGGAAAACTTCTTTGTGGGAACACTTCAACTTTCACCATCAATTAACCAAGTTTAAAGCATGAAAGAAAACCTACTCTATACCAGCTCTGCCTAAGTGTAAGAAAACCTGAAGCTGTGTACTAAACAAGATGCCCAAAACATCAGCAGTAAAAGGTAGGAAGGAAAATAATTATAAAGGACTGGATGGGTTGTAAGAAGAGAAACTTGACATGGATCTTATCTGCAATGAAAATATCAGCAATGAACATTCCAGGCACAAGGGACAATTTAGAGGTTACTGAGTCAAGACGGAATGGCTTCAGTACTCGAGTTATATTCATTTAACTGATCACAGAGCTGGAGTATCTTAAGTTGGCAATGGAAAAAAATTCTGAGCTTAAACAATCGGGAACACAGATACACTTTCACAATGCTTAGCGTCTTGCTAGAGGTAGCAATGCCACAAACCTCCATGTCCTCTTGGCTATACTTGTGCAGCACACAGCAGGAAGAAGCTTGTCTGTATATTATGAATAATCTCATTCAGTTACACTGCCATTATAATGTAAAACACTATTGTTTTCATTTTTGTTTTAGTTAAGGAATAAGAGCTAGGATGGAAAAGGGAAGGTTTTAGAGTGACATTAAGATGCTATACTCTTGGATAAAAATCCCCTAACACCGTCATTAAGATTATTAGACTCAGATAAACAGCGTTTTCCTTTATCCATGTGCTACATGAAACTAATAATTATTAAGGTCCCTCAAATTTTCTAAAACATTCTAATTTTTGTATTTATTATTTATTTTTAAAATTCAGAATAAAAATATCTTTTTTGGTGAGCCTTACAACACTAGTATTTAGGTTCACAATTTAAAAAAAAATAGCCTTTACTAAAGACTCAATTATGCTGACAAAAGATAAGCTAAATATGAAAAACTCTTAAAACTTTAAAAATGTGATTCCCCCTCCCATTTAAAAAAGACAGGCTGAAAACAAGATTTAGAAGAAAAACAAACCAAACTTGTGGCTATTTAACTGCGCCCTCTGTTGGTTATTTACGGTTACTATAAATTTGCCATCAAAGACAAGAAAAGATTAAAAACAAAAATGAGTACAAGTAAAAGGTAATGAACTTTCTATCCATAGGGCAAAAAGAATCATAATTTTAAAATAAAAATTCTATCACTAAATTTTGCTAGTTTCCTCTATTTTATTTTATGTGTATGTGTGTTAGCCTGCATGTATGTCTGTGTATTGTGTGTGGACATGTGCCCACAGAGGCCAGAAGGGGCACTGGATCCCTGGAAGCTGACATGGGTCTTCTGGAAGAGAAGCAAGTGCTCTTCCTCCCCAAGCCATCCATCTCTCAGCCCCTTGCTATCTGGTCCTAAGTGCACAGAGACCAGACAGGTTCACATCTGCTGTGGCATCAGAGACAACACTCACAGTTCTGGTTTTTGCTATTCTTCCCTTACTTTTTGACGCAACATAGAAGCACAAGAACTAAGCTTATTACTCCCAGAAACATAGAATGAATATCCAACAAAACTGAACTTTAAAAGTACAGAATAATAGTTACTTTTCTGTAGACTGGGCTTTTAATATGACGTCCCTGTTTTGGGGGGACTTCGGTGGATACTAAAAGTAAGGTACACATGGCGAGGAAGGGCCTTTATTAGCTACTTTTATTCAAATGTGCAGTTCAGACGCGATCTTCAGCTGTGAAACAATACAATCAAAATCACAACTTGTAGAAGAGTGGATCACGGAGGCCCACATGTCACAGCAGGGTAGCATGGCGACCCAGTGCTGTGTGTATACAAACCACCTTACCGTCAAGATTATTAGCCTTTGATTCAGACAGGGTTTTAAAATCATAGCACCCCCCCCCAAAAAAAAGATATGAAATCTGGAACTCAGAGCATGCTCAATGAGAAACAAGTTCTAGAAGGTTCAGTGTGGGAAAACAGAGACAGACGTTGTCCCAGTAGGCTTTCTCCATCGCCAATACAAGAAGCAAACTTAAGTTTCTACCCAGGTGTAAGATAAACGCCATCCAATACCTCAGAACTTCTTCCGCTTGCCAGGCTGCATCTTCTTCCTCTTCCCACGCGTTGGTATTTTCTTGCCAGGTATCTAAGTCTCCTAATTCTGACTACATTGAAAGACAAAGAAAAACTGAGATAGTGAAGAGCCATCATTTCTCTACACAGCAGTTCAGAGCCAAGGCAGTCAAAACTGAGTCGTTTTAAGTCTAACTCAGAAGAACCCATTTCTCCCCTATGGTTCCCTAACTCTACCAATCCCTGCACAGGGCATGAATGATCTGGCCTCTCGTTTGCCTAGAGCTGCAGGTTCTACAATAATGCTATGACATGTGGCTTTCCCAAGTGGTAAAGATGTTCTGGGCCACTGGTGCAATAGTGACAAGCCTTTCAGAGCCAGCCATCTGCTGACTGGGTTTGAGGGTGGCTCCACAACACAGAATGCACACCCGGGACCATAAACCTGGTAAAAAGTCCACGGCTGGGGAGGGCATAGGCACTAGGAGGAACAGCTCCTGCTGCTGTCCCGATAAACAGACGGGCTGTGCTCACACGGTTACCTTCCCCAGATGCTCACACGGTTACCAGATGCATGCTTATGCCTACAAGTCGGTGCTGCTGTCAGCTTTCATCAGAGAAGCTTCTTTTTCCAAT